TATTGTTGCCTGGGAGATTTAATAGGATATTCTGCTTCCCAGGTGGGAGGGCCTTTTCTGGTGTGGCGTCGGCTTCTGAGAACTGACCGTGTTCCTCTCAGTCGTTTGTTCAGGGGTGTACCGTGGACGTGCACCGTTGGAAGAAGCCGACTGCCTCCAGTGTGTACCTGACGTGGGAGCCGTCTTGACCAGTCTGCCCCTTGGTTTCCGGTGTGCTCTGCATAGCCGAGCCGCGTTGGACGCCTACCATCGTAACCTATTGGAGCGCCTACTGACGAGTTAACCAGAGTCTTGAAGTTCCTCGTGGAGGCGTGACCCCCCTAGGCTTGCCTGGGCCGAGCCATCGTGTTCCAGGGCCGGTATCTGTGCCGCTTGAGGTGGCACGTTAATGTATTAGGACTTCCCCTGAAGAGATACGCGGCTCTCGGGGAGTCGGCGCGTCTCGTGTTCAGTGTTTTGTAAAGGTCAATAGGTTTTAGAATTGTCGCGGGTCGACTATTTGAATAAATGGTTTTTAGTTAAGTAGCCGAGTAGTATTTAGTAGTATTAGTATTTATAATTGTAGTTAGTATCTATATTTGTTGGAGTTTCTTGTCTAGATTGAATAAAACTTCGGGTTTAATTTTATTCCTGTGCCTTAGTAGGGCGTACTGTATGCGTCATCCCTCATTACCAGTAGCATCTCCTGCCCGGGGACATTGAGCGTTTAGGCAGCTCTGTTATATTTATTAATAGTTACCCGCTCTCCCGTAACAGCATCATTAGTTAGTTATGGTAGTGGAGACCTTCATGGGCCACAGACAAGTGATCAGACACGTTACTTTTACTGACCGAATGAGAATGCGAGTGATCTGAACCAAACTCAGACTGAAGAAGGATGTATGCATTGTTTAGTATTTATCAGATTTTGCGGTAAAATAAAGTCATATTTGTTTAAACAGAAATGTTTCGATAGTTAATTTTAAAGAAATTTAAAAAAAGTTAGAAGGTAGCTAAATTGAAAAGTTGATTTCCTATAAAGAATCTATCAAATTAGTTAATGGTAATCATATCGAGCAAAATATTGTCAATGGTAGGAAGGTTATGATACGCTCATTAATTAATAATTACTGGTAATATTAATACATTAACCAAAGTCTAATCATGCATTGAAAAATCAAATTTGTCGACGGAAACAATCAGACGTCGATCACAAAACTTTTAACGAGTTCGTCAAAACTAAAATACATTCCCCGGATAACCTGTTCAGCAGATGACGTTTGGTGCGTCCAAGGAACGCCGGCCGCTTAACGTCGGCGAATGCTCGCTGTAGAACGGTTGTGTGGACGCCCGCTGGCACTTTCCCGACCTCCGAGGCGAAGACTTGGGCTGGATGTACAACAGCCTGGTCCTCCTCAGCAGTTGCACGTGCGAATGGTAGGCCTTGGATATGTTGTACATGCATTCTGGCCCCCTGCAGCGGCAGGGGCGGATGGGATGACATTTGTATGACATGGACTGGGTGTAACTCAGTTCGTCCCACACGATTCTCATTAATTTTATAAAATTATATACATTATATGAACACCTCTTCTGTTAGCGTGTTCTGTCGGGACTATAATGATTACAAAGATGTTTTGATACGATTAGAAAATTGTTGATTTAGTTTTGTTCTAGAAAATGAAATCGATCATTTACATTGAAGACTGGCAACATTTGTGCTACTGCGACTAAATGGCATAGACATTAACTACTTAAGCAATCGCCAACTATTATAAATTTATTTGCTACTTTGTATAGCAAGCGTTCGTGAGGTATGAAAAATATCCGGCAACAAAAGCCTGCTATTACTCGAATGCTTACATTAGAAGAACATCGGAGATTTTAACATTACATTACTATACGTATCAATTAAAAGATTATCAATATTGATTTTATTTAAGTGACGAATAAACTGACACTCGTGACATCATAACAGACTTTCTGGGGCTTTAAAGTGAATAAATTTCTAGGTTAGGGTAAATTTTGGTATTGAATTCAAAAAATTGCAATGCCAATTATATTTTTGAAACGGCTTCTACTCGTGAAATTATAGCAGACTTTTTGCCGCTTTAAAGTGAATAAATTTCCAAGTTTTGAAGAATATTCTAGTTGAATTTATAAAGTTACTTTATTCCTCTCCTTTTTTAAGTCAAATCAGGTTACTAGCAACGGTTCATACTCCTTGTTTCTCTCAGCGACTCGAAGCTTCGAAATTCAAATGCATATACGAAGAAGAAATTAGGCAGCGACTCCCGTACTAAAATCCTAACGATTAAGCTAGTGGCAAAACTGGGGGCTTTAGTCTCTTGTAGCTGTGAAAATGGAAGATTAATCTCTTGATTAGCTACACTTCTGAAAAAAAGAATTAGAGTGTTGAAAATAAATTGTCGTACTAGTGAAGGGAAATTGGTGTTGAAGAAGAATCACTATCCTCATAAATCTCCCAGCTAAAACGTACTCAGAATTAACGCACTTTTGAAAAGAAATAAACTTGACTTTTAGCTCTTAGTTCTTGACTTGGTAAAGTAAAGTCGAGTTATCAAAGTGCGGCCGCTCTAGACGTGACACATGAACTGCAGCCATAAATATTTGATCAACCCTGTCACTGAGGTTGTTGGAAAAATTCTCGATATTTGCTTCAGGCTATTGTGAATATGGTACAGTTCCAGCGGATGACCGATTTCAAGATATTTCTCAGTCGTTTGTTTGCTGCTAACTTAGCAGGTTAGTAATAATTTGTAAGGAATATGTAATAATATGCACCATGTAATATTGTTTTTGTTGTGAATTTGTAATATGCATGTAAGCAATCACATATAACTCAAATTGCACTAAACTTCGCAAAAAAATGAAATGACGTGTGGTTCATTGATGACGCGTGAACAACGGTAAGAGACGTAAGGTTGTATAGGTTCTCCGTGCCGCTGTTGATGGATAGAAATCAGTTCATTTTTCTCGCCACGCTGTACTGTACGCTCATAATTAATTGCAAATATGGATCTAGTGACGCTCAAATTGTCGCAGGTCGTCATGGCTGAATAAGTTATTATACGTGACGTATTGATACGGAGTGCATTAGTGTGGAAAATGGGTAGTTTAAATATGAGAGAACTTGATGATGTTAGAAAGGAAATAGAATCCCTGCAATGTAAGATGCGCCTAAATTTTAACGAATAGTTTTTATTGTATTGTTTCATCATCAATTATATTGATGAAACGTGACAAACAATTCAGCATTTCTATGATGTACTAGACTTTTTTGACGAGACTGAATGATTATTACTGGTATATTCAATGAAGGAGTAATTGTTCATTTATGACCCCAAGTGTTCTCAGTACTGACGAGAAAGTGAAGACATTCCCTAAAAATGTTCAGCTCGTGCATCTGAAAAATTATTTTTTAGCTTTAACTTGTAGGCTGTATCTAGAATATTCCATTTGTCCTATTTGGTTTTGGCAGAAGGAACTCAACATTGGTTTTCAAACATAATTGGTCATTTTAATGAATTTCGATTGAAATGTTTAAAAAAGCATTTGCAGAGTTATTATAAAAATAGCCAAAAGTTTACTGAATTTATTGCTTTTGGGATCCTCAACACTTTTATTTCATCTGTTTTATACCCACACACAAATACTTTCCGACCATTTAATGCCTATAGTCAAAGAAGATGGTTTTGATCACCCAAACGGGCATGATGATTTCAGGATTGCCTCCTTGTACAAGTGCGCGTGAACACCTAATTTCGACTCTATCATATATATAGTGCTGAACTAATATTTAACCCGAACAACGCTAGGTGCTAACGCGTTAGTTTATTCTTGATATTTCTCGTTCACGATTGTTCTTCTTCAATTGGATAAGTTAGGTGTTCGTGTTGAGGTGAAGTGACAACATCAACGCCCAGCTGAGGCTGAAGCCACGGCTTATTGAGGAGCTTAACGTTAAAGTAGGCGATGGAAACAACGTGTGAATGCAACACATTTACTGGGGAGCTGAATCAAATCTGAGACCGCAAGCAACATCTGAGAAAACTAACATAATATTAGATTATTAGTACAGCCATGACTTGAATAAATGATACGGTGTTGGGCAAAGCATGAGTACGTATGTAATTAATTGTCCCGCCTGATCCCCCATTATTGCCGCAGATAAGACCTAATTTTGAATGAGTGTTTAGCCCCACAACTAGGCGCTGCAGAGTCGGGAGTTCAGCAAACCACCAATTCATCATGGAAGCTTAATCGATAAATTTTGAAACTTCAACGTGTGCATTCAATTTATTTAGCAGCACGCACACACAAAGATATAACACGTGACTTCTAACCTATCCTTAACACGATCTGATTTTGAACATAAACTGATCTAGGATTGCAGTAAATTTTAGAAGAATTGAAATAATTGAAGAACAAATGGTATAGATTTGGCCAATTCGACAAGCACGGGTTTTATATCCTCGATAAGAATGAAATTCTAATTATGGGTACTTTATTCCTTTGTCATAGTCGATTAGGTTATCTTAACAGATTTACTAAGGTCGTGACAACAAAAGATTTGATTGCGGGAACCTCTTCGCCTGAACAATTATTTTACTGCTAAAATTTGAATTCTGTGCTACTAAAAATCGAAGGAATTTCTTGATACAGCTAAAGTAACAGCACTCGTGCGTGGCATCACCACTTCACACAGCTAAAGTAACAGCACTCGTGCGTGGCATCACCACTTCACACAGCTAAAGTAACAG